TAGATACTACGTGGTATTTGCTGCATGGGAGCAGATGTTTGCAGTCTGTGGGCTGATAACTTCAAAGATCAAGTTGCATATGAAAAATGGAGTAAGATAATACTAATAACATTATAACCATTTCTTACAAACTGAGTAAAAGACAAATGGTTGAAGCTCTGACCTTCTCTGGCTTTTTCCCGCTCTTCTGTTCATATGCATTTCTTTTTACTGATCAAAGGTGTGTGCTCCAGATTGTTACACGAACCAAGTCACCCTCGGCAGATTTCTTTTTTGTGACGGCACAACATCCTCACTGCTGCTCTCCTGGTATCTCTCCCTAAGTAGAGTGCATTAGTGGTTCATCCTGAGCCAGATCCATCCTCCTGTTGGTTTGTCTGGTGAAAGCCAGAATCGGCAGTGCTGGAAATAACTCCACATACTTAAAGTACATAAAGGCGATGCACTGTGTGGGAATAGAGGCTGCAGGCTGTAAAGCAGCCAAAGAATACTGCTCTATTGGTCTAATGACTCCAGGTCCTTAGGGAAGCCTCTTTAACCTTCAAACCCACACACGTGTGTGTGTGTGTGTGTGTGTGTGTGTGTGTGTGTGTGTGTGCGCGTGCGCGTGTGTGTGTCCACAGAGATAAGTGGAGGCTAATGAGGGACTACCTATGCTCAAAGGGCACACTGGGGGCTTAATGCTCAGTCCTGTGATAGAGCTTTGTGGGTGGGCAGTATCTTTACATTGGCCAGTATGTTAAGGTTACAATAAATACAGATTGCCTCTGACAACACCAAGGCGGATCACATTAAAGCTTTTAAAAACAGCACATTGTCCTTGTGGTCGGTATCAGGGTCCAGAGTATTTTTCTGACTCCCACTCTTCCCAGTATACTCGTTTTATTTCCATTTCTGTCACTGTCGGGGCTTTGCTTTGTTTGCTACGGTGGCTTGTTCCCGTTCTTAATGTATAGTGTGGAACAAACTAGTAGACCGTGTTTGCTCCTGTGTTAGGAGTAAGAAAGAAGACACAGCAGCATTCATTGTAACAGTCGTGAACGAAGCCACCTAAACTTCAGTCTTTAACTTGACTACTAGGTCGACACTAACGAATGACGGGACAAAATGTCAACGGTTGCTTTTTGTTTGGCAATGGGAAAGAACACCAAACTCCTGGACGTAAGTCCTGTGTGTGCACTGACCAAGCTGCGTTACCTCACACATTGGGAGTGAGAATGGGTTGGCAGCTCGGCAGCCGACGGCTCATCTAGGGTTTCGGCATGGGTCACCTAGTTTTTCTCAGCAAAAACAGACAATGAAAAAAGGCCGTGTTGAGGCCAGGCAGTAGCAGCAGTGCTGTCTGTGTGACACCATGTCCACAGCGGAGGTATATGGCACAGAGGAAGAAGATATATCAGGCTTTGATACACACATAGTCCTTGTTACTGGATACATCCCCACGGTTTGGGTCAGCAGTATTGCCAGACTTAGCATTTAACTTGTGTTCAGGAATAGTAAGAGATGCTTGAGTGTAATGACACATCAACAGGACTCCATTGATCCCAACACTCTTTTCAAAGTGTTCCTTTGATCCCACTGGGAGCCTCTGCCTTTCTCAGCTTAATGATCTTTCAAACCTCCTCCTCTGTCACCAGAATTGCTTTTCCACTATCTGACTGCTGCCTGACAAAACTGGATCCAACAGAAGGGTCACTCTGCAAAAAAAATATCCATCTACCAAATAAAACATTTTGGCTGTTAAGGAGTCTTCAAATCTATATATAATATACAATCGTCCTCCTGCTGGCAGCACAAATCAACTCGTTACTTTTTTGATATTGGAACCTACAAATTCATGGAGAAATTCACCTAAACACAGGGAGAAATGCTAAATCAAACGCGAGACCTTGTTGCTATGATGTGACGGTAGTAACTCCTGAGACTGCTGAAACAAAAATGGTTGCACATGCTGAACATTCTCACTTTAAGAACTGTGTCTGAGTCTTAGGATGAATGACTTGTTAAGATCAATCTTTTGAAAAGACAATGGTGAGAGATCATACAAAATGAAAGACCTTCATGTCCTATTCTATGATGTTTTTTTTTCCTTTTTATGCCGATTTCAAACCGTTTAAACCTTTCTATACAAGGGAGGTATTTTGCTTATCAATTCTAACTTTTAACTCTCCCAATGTTTTCCAAATTAAAGCATTTTAAGTTTAGGATAAGGTTAGGTTACGACAACAAAACCACTTGGTTAGGTTCAGGGAACAAACCCATTTAGTTATGTTAAGGTTAGGTTCAGGCAACAAAACCTCTTGGTTCAGTAGAAACTAGTGGTGTAATGGATCACGGATTGATCCGTGATCCGTTCGGATCACCCCTCGCGGTTCGGATCACTCGTGAACCGCGGATCAATTGAGTATTTCTTTCCTTTTCTTTTTACAGTTTAATCATCATAGTGTGTAATAAAGTTTTACTGCTGCTGTTCCTTTTCAAGTAACAAGTCCCCGAATATCAATGCAGAGTGTCAGTGAACGGGTATAAAACAGTCGTGTGTTCACGTGAACGGAGCAGGTTAAAAGCATTTAACGGCGGAAGTCATGGCGAGCGGAGGAACTTGAGAAGCCCCCGGCGTCATTTAAGTTGCAAGTTTGGGAGCATTTTTGTCTTAACCTGTAACTTATAATAACGGATAAGGGTGGTGAACGAAAGCGTTACAGTATGTAGGCGTTATTTAAAGAGAAAGACACACGACACCCGCAATACATCGGCATGTCCACACATATGAAGAGACCGTCCCATCTGTCGGCGACGGGGGACACTCCGGTGTGGAAAACAAAGGATTTCAAAATCTGTCAAGTTGTTGCCGAGCAGTTCAGTTCAGTGTAAACAGTGTAAGCGAGCTCACTGGCTGTTTCTTTCTTTCAATATTGATCAAAGGACGAGGGTGTCAACATACCTCATGTTGCACTTAAACTTAACAGAATTGAGTATATTTGAATGTTTTATTTATTTATTTCATTTTTTTTCAAATTGGACATTTTTTTTTGAATATTTTTATGCAAGACTATAGCCCAAAGTTCTTTTCTTTAAGTGTTCTTGAAGTTCTGTAATTAATAAATGGAAAGCAAAGTTATATTTGTCTCCTCCCCTTTACTTTGTTGATCCGAAAAATGATCCGAACCGTGATCCGAACCGAACCGTGAGGTTTGTGATCCGTTGCACCCCTAGTAGAAACCTACATAGCCTTCAGCAGTATACACATACACATATATCTATTGTATCCTCGGGCCGGGTGCAAATAGCATTGTTGTCTTCTGACACTTGGTTGCTAATAGCATCTGCCTAATCTCAAACCATGGCACGACTTTACAAATGAACTGTTCTTTTTGTATTCATAAGTTGTAGTTATATGATCAAACTTTCTGCCCTTCAAAGTTCGTTACGTGCCTGTAAGGCTCTTTTCTAACTGCATGCCTTAATGGCATTTCATCTTGATAGTACTTGCCTCACTGTCGAGATCTCTATCGTTCTGTCGCTTTGCTTTTTAATGCCAAAGCACTTTGTAAACTCTGTTTTTAAAGGTGATTTATAAATAGTTATTATTATAGTGTTTTTTTAATTAAGTACATCCAATTCAACTGTTATAATGGTGACATGATGTTTACAAGTTTGAACAGCTGCTGCTCAATCAAAACGTTCTCTCTCTCAATTGACGTCTCTTTAAAATGATGGCTTTGAGGCAACGATGCCTCGTTTGTTTAATGCCTGTTGCCTCGATTCCTCTCTCCTCGCGTCTCTTCCTAGCTTCCTCTGCTCGCATCTCTCATGAAAGGGTCTAAGATGGGGGGGCAGAAGCTGAGGAAAGGAATCGAAGATATGCAAAATGGGAAATGAGAAAGGCCTAATGTGTGTCACGATTAACAAGGTAGCTTACCTGCCATTCAACAGAGCTTCTCTCTCTCTATACTGTACCCAAATGTCCCCTGTGTTTACAGGAGTACCTCAAGAAGTCAGTGCCTTGGTCTTATTAATGAGCAATGCGTTATTTTCTTCACAGAGCTAAGTTTCTTCTTTCAAATTAACATTGCAAATTCTCAAATAAAAGCCGGTACAATGAAACAAAGAAAGGTTGAAAGTAGTTTCCACTGTGCTTTTTTTCAATCACTGTCAAGCTACCGTCAGTAAAGAGTCATGAATTCCTGAACGTATGTTTTACATTAAAAGCCTCCCGGCAACTCAAAGAGCATTAGCTCTCCGGTTCCTTGCTGATTAATTGTAATAAAAACTGAAGTAAAGAGCAGCAGCATGTTGAGTACAACATGACTTGTTGTTGTACTGATGAATATGTATATTATACTGAAATACATTATACAAGAAGACATGGCGGTAGTGTTGAGTTTCTTTTTACAGCAAATTAAAAAGGATGAGAACAACAAACAGGAAGGCCTCTTCCTAAATGATGATAGAGGATACTGATAAGAGTGGAAGGCATGTCCCTATAATAATATCTCTACTGTTAAATAAGGACCACTATTTTAGAAGACACAGTATTCAAAGTGTATTGAAAAAAAACAATATTCATCTGGTTTGTTAACTCAGTTTCAGTCGCCCTCACCTTGGTCTCAGTCAGTTTGGTTTCAGGTCAGTAGTCTCAAAAACAAGCCTAATACAACCATTATCATTGCAGCATTGTATATCAATCGGTTCAGCTTGTTGCAGTTGATTTGGTGTATTATTGTCATAACATAACAAATCCATACTTGGCCAAAGCAGAATGGAGAGAATGAATCACATTTATAACCACATGTACACCTCTGTCTGTAATTTCTATAGTTTCCTTTGGTTGTACAGTATCTCACAATAGCTTTGTAAATTGAGATGATCAGATTGATGACCCCACCACTATCCCACTATCTACTCCATACCACTTTCCCATCCATCTTTTTTATCATTCTGTTTACCCTCTGCTCCCTCCCACTCTTTACTTTTTCATCCCTATCTCTCTCCTGCAGCTGTCAGAGTTATTTGTTTCCTTTGAGGAGGAGCCTCAGGGTGCAGCCTCTTTAGCCCAGGTCCACAAGGCAGTGCTGCATGATGGGAGGACAGTGGCCATCAAGGTCCAACACCCCAAAGTCCAGAGACAGAGCTCCAAGGACATTGCGACGATTGAGGTGAGTCTGTGTCTGTTATTCTACTTTTAAATAATTGAAGTGTTTGGTTGTCTGAGACACAGACTTCTGATACTCTGGCCACAAATATGATGTATGTTATTCTATCTCTACAACCTAACATGCTACTGGCAAAAAATGGAACTTTTGCTAACATGTCCAACAGATTGAACGGACAAGTCAAGACACTAATCCCAGTGAACAAAGCTGCTGACACTGGCATAAAGTGGGCAAAGGAGATGTAACTTTGCCTTCCTTTCCCCCGCATGGGTTGGAAGACAAAAAAAAACATCCAACTATATACCCATTGACCTTAAAGAATTCCTTAAGTTCCTGGGAATGTTGGAGGGTAGCCCCACTATGGTTACCAAGGAGCAACAAAACTTCTCAAGACGGTGGCCAAAGACCAGTCTGTCTCTAAAGCCCTCGTGGCTGGAAAGAATCGCTGCTGCATACACTTCATCAATGGAATGAGCCCTCTATCAACCAAACACTGCAGAAAGGAGAGAATAGACAACTGCACAGGACAGGGGATCCAGCCTCCTTTTCTCGCACCAGCGCTGGAACCCTGACTACTTTGCCTTGTAACAGGCAATGGTAGATCCCGCTGTAGCTGCCTGGATGGTCTGCACAACCTGTACAGACAAACAAACGTTCCTCAGACAGTCTCTCTCAGGAGTCAAACCTAGAAAGGATGTCCCATATCGGGCAGTGCGCCTATTGCCCCCACCTCTTGAAACAAAGCCCTTCAAGAACAGCCCTGGACCATTCATCTGAATCACTTTTGCATACCATGGTGCTGAGCGGTGACGTAAAGCAGAATGCAAATGGGTCTACGCACAGGGGTGTATTCCCTTGCTGTGACAGGGAGTACCATAGCAGGCAGTGGGTGTTGCATCGGTTGGTGAACAACTTCCATTTTTCCAAACCGGGTCCAAATCTGCTTCACCACCTCGGACTGAAGCCTCCACTCGTCTGGTAGGGGTCCACCTCTGGACTTGAGGTCAGCACCTCTGTTCTCCATACATGCAAGTATGGTTAAGGTGTCTGGTCCACACATGAACCTCCATGAACCTCCTTGAGATATAGGCAGTGTATGAGCCATACACCTTAACCATACTTGTGGGCGACTGTGGCTAAGTGGTAGAGCTTCAGAGAACCTGTTGTCTTGTCTCTGAAGGCTCTTCACATTCTAGGACTGGAGAACAGTGGTGCTTAACTCATGTCCAGAGGCGGACGCCTGCCAGACGAGTGGAGGCTTCACTCCGAGGTGGTAAAGCAGATTTGGACCCGGTGTGGTAGGTGCTTGCTCTTGACCCAGTTGATTGTGAAACCCAACTTGGTTAGGTGTAATATCAATTGGGCCGTGTGAAACAAAGCCCATTTTCTGGACTTGGCTATGACGATCAGGTTGTTGAGATAAAAGAAAATCCTCATGCTACGGTGATGTAGTGACTGCAGGGCCATGTAGACACCCTCTGCCGAGGGTGCGGGGGCCCAAGAAATACCCGAATGGCAGCCTGAGGTTATCCCCTGGAAGGCGTAACGCAATAGTTTTCTGTGTTTCTGAGCCACTTCGACATGAAAGTATGTGTCCTTTAAGTCGACAATGGTAAACCAATCGCCTGGCTGAACCAATTCTAGCAACTGCCTGATGGTCACCATATGTAACGTCTTGTGGGCATTTCTTCTTTTTAGGACATGGAGATCCAAAATGGGTCTAAATTACTGCATCTTCTTGGGAACCAGGAAGTACACAGAGGAAAACTCCCGCTGTTTATCGGGAGTGAGGACAACAGACACAACCTCTTTTTGGAACAAGGCCCAGATCTCTGCTGAGGTAATCTATCTCCTCCTGGGCGGATAGATTCACCTACTTGACCTCCTTGAAAGGGGGAAGGATGCTGCAAAACTGGAGGCAATAAAGCGGTTCAGCGTCCTGTGCATCCATTGTGTTAAAACGCAGTTGCGTCGCCACTACACATGAAACTGTTGGAAGACGAGCAACCAGCTGTGGCTCAGAAAACTGATATCCTGTCTCTCACCAACAGACCCTCCATAAACAGGAGACTTGCCCATCGGGGGCCGACATAGAAAGGGCTGAGCCGGCAATGAGATCTGTGAACGCACCACCTGCTCTCTCGAACATTCAGCAGCATGTGACTTTGTGTCACTGTGTGTCATCCCTGCTGTCTGGAGATCAGTCAAGGATGAACAGACACATGTTTCATGGGCTTTGATCTGGCTCTCATTGCAGCGTAGCGTCAAAAGTGATGTGTCGGAAGTTAACTCACAGCTGCTGGCTTCAAATTTTGGGCAGAGCCCGGTAGGCCAGGCAGGCTGGTGGCTGCTGAACACGCTCTCTGTGTGGTCCATGCCAAGGCACTCAAAGCAAGCATGACGAAGATCCATCCCAGCAATGAGGCTGGGACATGAGTTCTTTAAGCGACGACTCAATCAGTGGAGGTAGGCAGTCATTGGAAGAAAAGGATGGCTCAGCAGCGGGGGTCTGCTGCCTTTATATACTGTGGTGTTTTGCACATATTTTCTTTGTTAACATAGCCGGCCAGCAGCGCGTGGTTTCAATGCATATGAGCGTGTCCCACTGGCTAGCTCGCAGCTACCGTTCTGCGCTGCTGTCATAGGGCGGATACAGCTGATAACGCCAATCTGACCGACCGCTTTGTCGTGCCAAGCACCCACCTTCCGGTTCCCCCTCAGGTAAACACTGTTGGAGGCAATCAAAATTCTCCCAATTTCGTATCTTGCACCTTTTAAGGAGATCAGACTGGTTTGAAAGGGACTGCCCATTTACAATATTTGAAGTCATCAGAAGTCTGATCCGGCATGGATAGAGAGCCAATGAGAAGAAGCTGAAATTTGACTGGTGTGGTCCAGCATCTCAGTCAGTAATTGCATGACATCTTTTTTTCACAACAGACAAGAAGTATAAAAAGAATAGATGTTCTGATGAGCTGACAAGTACAGTATTTACTTATAATATATTCTATAATAAATATATTCAAAGTTTATCTGAAATTGATATGAGGTTTCAGCAGTTTGATCCGTGAACTGTAGATCTTGTCCCACACTGTTTTTTTATTGACCAGTATGAGCAGGAGGGATGATTACCACAAGCAAAACCTGTTTATGGGCTCCTGACTGTCATTGTAAAACAGGCATTGTTAACTTATCCTTCAAACATACTGCGTTTGCCATGTACAGATATTGGGTTTTTGCAGAATCATCCAAAATTAACATTATTGTCTGGCAATGTGGCTTCTCTAAGCCCAAGCTGAGATAACCCTGGAAACATCATCATTCTACAGCTGTTGCCACAGCCAGAGTGGTATTTACCATGACTGATAAACTGATCCAGATGTGTGCCTCTTCCACAGGTGATGGAACAGATTGGCCAGAAACACAATTGAAGGTGTTAATGGACTGGACGTAGAGCCGTTTCATATCAGTTTTCTGTCACCCAGTAATGAACATGATGATGTCCTGATATATACTGGCATAACACATTGGTAGGACATCACTGTATATGTGCCTTTATTGTACTTGACAGTGAGACTGATAGTGATTTGTAATTTGAAGGTGATGTTGAAGATGGTCCATTGGCTCTTCCCAAACTTCGCCTTCATGTGGTTGGTGGAGGAGGCCAAGAAGAACATGCCACTAGAGCTGGACTTCCTTAACGAGGGACACAATGCTGAGAAGGTGGCCAACATGCTGGCCCACTTCTCTTTTCTCAAGGTACACACACAATTACAGTGCAAGCATTTTCTACAAGGCTTACTTCTATAAAGGAAGAAGTCCACAATGGGATTTAGCTTTTAGTTTTAGTTTGCACCCTTTTGGCCACACATCCAAGTAAACAGCTGGTAATAAGAATACAATAGAATAATATGAGACAGTCTGTTTAAATTTAATGTCCTCGTTTTTCAAATTGTACTCGATAAAGTTAATAGAGCTCAGACCTTTACACTGTGTGTGACAGCTTTCTCTGTGCTGCCCGTCAGCTCTTCTAATTTCTAACCGAGCAGGGTTACCAGAACGTAAATCATATTTCCTTCACTATACAGAGCTGGACTTCATGTTCATTATCATTTAATTTCCTGGTGTCCTTTTTCTTCATCCGTCTGTTTAAGAACTTTCATTAGCTCTGGTAAATGTGAATCAGACTTCTTTTTACAGCTGTCCTTCTTTGTTCGATGTTCAAAGCCACAGAGCAAAAACTTCTTTGGTTTTGTCTTCTTTTCTGTCATTTGCTTTTTGCTTTTTTCAATTATATAAGTTGGCATGTGATTAAGACATAAAACCGAGCAGAATGAAAGATAATTATGTGCAAATGCCCTCCGATACATCCATTAAAACTCCAGCTCGGCCCGAGTGGTGGTCTAAAATGAACAACTTTGGCTTTTGACAGGCCATAACTGTAAGAAAAACATTTGCTTCCTTTAAACATTTCTTTAGCATTCAATGACCTTCGATTTTTGAATTCCTTTGTAATTTCTGATCAGCCAGCAATATATTGAATAAGTTTTCAAAGGAATAAAGAAGGGCCCTTGCACATAAAATACTGAGTAACTCGTCAACATCAAAACCATGTACATATGCTGAGCATGTTTTCTAATATATACTGTGTATAACGTATGAGTGCATCAGTATTTTCATATCCACCCATAAGGGACACAACTGTCGCAGTAGATCAATCATTAGACTTGTAATGTAGATCGTCAGGAGCAAGGGACAAACTAAACTGCACATGCATACAGGAAATGAGTCAAACATTTGGCCCATTTTACAGTTCTTACTGCTGTATTGAATAGAGGCATTTGTTCCTGCTTACATTTCAATCAATGATGAATTGTTTAATTAATGAAGATGTTTAGGTTGCTTTTTCCAATTTAGTTTATAGTTTCCAATTTTAGATTTAAGTCCTGCTTTCGAAGATATATAAAAGAAAATCTATACTTTTTAACATCGTCAAAAGCAGAAACAATGGACTTGCTGAAGCAACGAAATGGGAAAAATAGCTAGTAGTGTTAATGCTGTGTCATCTGAGGGTCGTACCGTCACTGGAATAAAGAGGAAAGTGGATATGGTTCCATATGAAAAACGTCTCGCTGCAGCAAGTTGATCTGTGAGTGCAATGGGAGAGGGTCGAGGGGAAGTCTCTATCACGGTGATGGATGACAAGAATACGTGCCACAATAAGTGACACTGTCAGGCATAACAACGGATGATATTCCCCTGGACAGCGACTTGCATAAACCTGCATGTGAAGAACCATCCATCTGTCTCTGCCAATAACAGGACGCTGTGTAGACATGCTCTCTTCCAAAAGAAGTAAATCAGCCATGACTAGGGCTGTCGGGATTAACCGCTTTTGCCATAACTGGGGTGATGTACGTCGCTTTGAAACTGGCTATTTTAACTTAAACCTATAATCTAATCCACACCTGTAAGAGGGGATGCACAGGAGAATAACATCTAGTGAGAAAGTGGTGGAAAGAAAATCCACATGTTGGTCTCTTTCTACAGGTTCCCATGATCCATTGGGATCTGTCCACAAAGAGGATCCTCACCATGGAGTTTGTTGAGGGGGGGCAGATCAATGACAAGGACTACATGAAGGAACACAGCATCAATGTTAACGAGGTACCACCTGCTGCCCTGACAGCTCTCTGTAAGCCTTTGAATAAACACGTGTGTGTGTGTGTGTGTGTGTGTGTGTGTGTGTGTGTG